GTGGCTCTGCAGGATATGTTAGCTGCCCAGCCTGCACAGACGTCTTCGGTCAATTCAACATCTCCACCTGTTTGAGTATAGTCGGGTTTACCAGAATCAAACCAGCCAGTCCATTTACAGTCAGGCACACATGGGGTGCTTGATGACCCTGCGGTGGACAGGGTAGTTGTGACAGTGCTGACTGATTCTGCTGTAGGGATGGTGGTGGTTACAGTTGTAGTGGGCTCTGATGTAACTATGGATGTCGTAGTGGTGGCTGTCACCGAAGTAGTCCTTTCTGTGACAGTGGTGGTTGTGGCAGTTGTCGATGGGAAAGAGGTGGGAGTTGTTGATGAAGGAAAGGGAGTGGTCATTGGTGGAGGGGTGGGCGTGGTTGTTGATGGAGGTGTGGGCGTTGCTGTTGGTGAGGTGGNGCAGGTGAAGGCGTGGTTGTGGACGTTGGTGTGCTTGTAGAGGTGGTTATTGGTGGATGCGTGGTCGTGGCCATTGGTGAGGTTGTAGAGGTGATCGCTGGTGAAGGCGTGGGCGTGGACGTTTGTGAGGTTGTTGGGGTGATTATTGGTGGATGCGTGGTCGTGGACGTTGGTGAGGTGGTAGAGGTGGTCGCTGGTGAAGGCGTGGGTGTGGACGTTGGTGTGGCTGTAGAGGTGGTTATTGGTGGATGCGTGGGNAGGTTGTAGGGGTGGTCGCTGGTGAAGGCGTGGGCATGGACGTTGGTGAGGTGGTAGAGGTGGTTGTTGGTGGAGGCGTGGTTGTGGCCGTTGGTGCGGTGTTAGAGGTGGTTATTGGTGGTGTGGGCGTGGCCGTTGGTGAGGTGGTAGAGGTGGGCACTGGTGAAGGCGTGGGCGTGGACGTTTGTGAGGTTGTTGGGGTGATTATTGGTGGATGCGTGGGCGTGGCCGTTGGTGAGGTGGTAGAGGTGGGCACTGGTGAAGGCGTGGGCGTGGACGTTTGTGAGGTTGTTGGGGTGATTATTGGTGGATGCGTGGGCGTGGCCGTTGGTGAGGTGGTAGAGGTGGGCACTGGTGAAGGCGTGGGCGTGGACGTTTGTGAGGTTGTTGGGGTGATTATTGGTGGATGCGTGGGCGTGGCCGTTGGTGAGGTGGTAGAGGTGGGCACTGGTGAAGGCGTGGGCGTGGACGTTTGTGAGGTTGTTGGGGTGATTATTGGTGGATGCGTGGGCGTGGCCGTTGGTGAGGTGGTAGAGGTGGGCACTGGTGAAGGCGTGGGCGTGGACGTTTGTGAGGTTGTTGGGGTGATTATTGGTGGATGCGTGGGCGTGGCCGTTGGTGAGGTGGTAGAGGTGGGCACTGGTGAAGGCGTGGGCGTGGACGTTTGTGAGGTTGTTGGGGTGATTATTGGTGGATGCGTGGGCGTGGCCGTTGGTGAGGTGGTAGAGGTGGGCACTGGTGAAGGCGTGGGCGTGGACGTTTGTGAGGTTGTTGGGGTGATTATTGGTGGATGCGTGGGCGTGGCCGTTGGTGAGGTGGTAGAGGTGGGCACTGGTGAAGGCGTGGGCGTGGACGTTTGTGAGGTTGTTGGGGTGATTATTGGTGGATGCGTGGGCGTGGCCGTTGGTGAGGTGGTAGAGGTGGGCACTGGTGAAGGCGTGGGCGTGGACGTTTGTGAGGTTGTTGGGGTGATTATTGGTGGATGCGTGGGCGTGGCCGTTGGTGAGGTGGTAGAGGTGGGCACTGGTGAAGGCGTGGGCGTGGACGTTTGTGAGGTTGTTGGGGTGATTATTGGTGGATGCGTGGGCGTGGCCGTTGGTGAGGTGGTAGAGGTGGGCACTGGTGAAGGCGTGGGCGTGGACGTTTGTGAGGTTGTTGGGGTGATTATTGGTGGATGCGTGGGCGTGGCCGTTGGTGAGGTGGTAGAGGTGGGCACTGGTGAAGGCGTGGGCGTGGACGTTTGTGAGGTTGTTGGGGTGATTATTGGTGGATGCGTGGGCGTGGCCGTTGGTGAGGTGGTAGAGGTGGGCACTGGTGAAGGCGTGGGCGTGGACGTTTGTGAGGTTGTTGGGGTGATTATTGGTGGATGCGTGGGCGTGGCCGTTGGTGAGGTGGTAGAGGTGGTCGCTGGTGAAGGCGTGGGCGTGGACGTTGGTGAGGCTGTAGAGGTGGTTATTGGTGGATGCGTGGGCGTGGCCATTGGTGAGGTGGTAGAGATGGTCGCTGGTGAAGGCGTGGGCGTGGACGTTGGTGAGGTTGTAGAGGTGGTTATTGGTGGATGCGTGGGCGTGGCCGTTGGTGAGGTGGCAGAGGTGAGCACTGGTGAAGGCGTGGGCGTCGACGTTGTTGAGGTTGTAGAGGTGGTCGCTGGTGAAGGCGTGGGCGTTGACGCTGGTGAGGTTGTCGGGGTGATTATTGGTGGATGCGTGGGTGTGGCCGTTGGTGAAGTGGTAGAAGTGGGCATTGGTGAAGGCGTGGGCGTGGACATTGGTGAGGTTGTAGAAGTGGTTATTGGTGGAGGCGTGGGCGTGGCCGTTGTTGAAGTGGTAGAGGTGGTTGCTGGTGAAGGCGTGGGCGTGGATGTTGGTGAGGTTGTAGAGGTGGTTATTGGTGGAGGCGTGGGCGTGGCCGTTGGTGAAGTGGTAGAGGTGGTTGCTGGTGAAGGCGTGGGCGTGGACATTGGTGAGGTTGTAGAGGTGGTTATTGGTGGAGGCGTGGGCGTGGCCGTTGGTGAAGTGGTAGAGGTGGTTGCTGGTGAAGGCGTGGGCGTGGACGTTGGTGAAGTGGTAGAGGTGGTTATTGGTGGAGGCGTGGGCGTGGACGTTGGTGAGGTTGTAGAGGTGGTTATTGGTGGAGGCATGGGCGTGGCCGTTTGTGAGGTGGTAGAGGTCGGCATTGGTGGAGGTGTGGACATGGCTGTTGCTGAGGTGGTAAAGGTGGGCACTGGTGTAGGGCTGGGAGTTGTCGTGGTGGTGGTTGTGGCTGGGGTGGACACAGGACACTCATCCATCGGCAGGCAACATTTCACACGTATCTCGTAGTCATAACAGAGTCCGAATGGCCCATTCCCGAATTGCTCTTCATTCTTGCAAATGAACCCAAGCGATATGTCGCACTGTGCCTTCTGGCCCAACTCCTCCCAGCTGAGGTGAGGCTCCATCGCTGACCTGCACTCAATGTTCTCGGGAGACACACAGACACTGTCGAATGTCTCTTGGTCCCCGTCATCACTGCCACTGCTCGGGTGGTCTTCGTTGATCCAGTCAGACCAGAAGCAGCACAGCTCTGGGGAAGCAAAGCCCAGCATTAGTCACTGGTGCCTGGGTACAGGCACCCTCAGGAGGTGACTGAGAGGACTCACTGACCTCCATGCCCATCCCACAGATACAGCCCATCCCCTCCCCATCACCATCAAAGGACCAGGTCATAGGGCAGAGTGGAGGGCTGGACACCACTTCCCACTTCACAAGTGAAAAACTGAGGCCCAGAGAGAAGGGGCTACCCAAGGACACGCCTGGGTATGACCGACCCAGGTCGGGAAGCTCCAGCCCAGTGTCCTTCCTCAGCTATTTTCAAATCCTCGTGTCAGAAAACTAAGTAGCAAAAGGACCACCCATCCCAGTAAAGGAAGTGCGCCAGAAGGGGCTTCGTCTCTGCTCTTGACCAACAATGTTGTCACCCACAGCCAGTCAAGTCCCTCTTCATGAGTCCCAGGACTCCATAAACCATGAAAAGTCAGCAAAATACATGCATCTTTGGTGCACAGGCAGCTGGGACCAGCCCAGCTTGGCCTTGCACCGGGCCCTGAAGGGAGCTTCCCAGGACAGGGGCAGCTTCGCTCTTCTTTACCCTGTTTAGCTCCAAAAGAATCAACGTCACTTACTTGGAGTTGTCGATAACACTGCAATAGAGTGGGGGAAGAGGCTATCATTATATAGTTCGAGATTTTAAAAAATCTTCTTTTAATTTTTAAAAGTTCATTTTCTGCATGGCTGTCATATCCCTGGCATCTTGTTCCAAAGCTGCTACAATTCCAACCAGAACAAGCACAGAGGAATTTAAGGAAATGGCTCTCTAACCCTGAGGGATATTTTCTTGCTGGTTTTTGGAAATTTCCCCAAGTCGCTTTCCACTGTGGTCTGGGCTTGGGGATGTGGTCATAGTGCTGGCATCCCAACTCACAAGGCCAGGGGACTGGGGACACTCCCCCCCGTGCTCAGAGGAACATCAGTGTCACCTTGTTACAAACTGACTGGCTGCACCGTGCTGGTCCCCTGCCCTACAACAGCCATTTGTGCTGGGTGCTGGGTACTGGGGAAGGCAAGAGCCTCAGTAGGTAAGGGAGGCATGGCCATGGGGGCCTCACCTGTGCTGGGGGTCGGGGTGGTGGTGGTGGTGGTGGTGGTGGTGGTGGTGGTGGTGGTGGGGACGGTAGTGGAGGTCGTCAGGGTGGACGGGGGTGGTGTGGTGGACACACAGATGTTGAAGTGCTTCTCCACTGTCCCATTGGGGCCACAGATCTCCCAGTAGCAGAAGGCGCCATCCTGGGTCTGGTTGAGGATTTGTCCTGGGGGAGAGAAGGAGGCCATCAACATGTCGTGGTTGGGGGAGACAGAATCTCAAGGCCTCCCTCCACCTGTTACAAGTGAGGGAAGGCTGGGTGTCCTCCAGGTCTAATAAGAGGAAAACAAATGCCCCGGTGGGACTCCATCTCCAGAATCCCTCCCTTTGAAGAAGGGGACCCCATCAGAATACAGAAGCAGGTCCAAGGAGAGGAGCGACAGAAGTCCCCACAGGGCACCGGCTCCCCACGGGGTCGCCACACAGCAGAGGCAGGTCTGAGCTAGGAAGGGTCCCAGGGAAACAAAGGGGCAGAGCCCAGAAGGAGACCAGCCCCCACCCAGCTGTCCCCAGAAGCCCAGGAACAGGGGCTTACCTTCCTCCGGCCGGCAGATGACTTCCGAGGAGCTGGAGCACACACTGTAAAGCAAGCACAGTGCTCAGGGGGCACCAGCCTGGCTTCGCCCTCCTGCTCGGACACCTGCCTCTGTGCCCGAGCCCCCCTCCGGCACTGCCCCAAAGCCAGCTCAGAGGAGCCCCACCCATTGGGTTCTGTGGGCAGAGAGGGGACAAGAGGAGGAAGGAAAAAGCCGGATTGCAAGGACAGGATGAGAAGAGAAACACCCCTCACCCCCATGGAGAGGGACTGGTGGCTCATGTGGCATGCGTGTGTGCCTGTGTTTGACAGTGCATCTGTGTACACGTATGCATTGTGTGCAGGTGTGTGCAGACATGTGTGCGTGATAGACACGTGTGCATGATAGGCACGTGTGCATGTGCACCCGTGTGTGTGGCTGTGCCCACGTGTGTGCTCGCACGTGTGCGTGAGTGTGTGTGCCTGTGTTTGTGCTGGCCTCCCCAGTCCCCTGGGATCTGGGCTTAGGTACCAAGACTTGCAGATCTCCTCAGTGGGAACTGATGATCCAGGTAGGTAGCGGGTGTCCTCGACATAACAGCCACACTTGTCCCCCGAGACACACTTCTTCAGGTCCTCATCATAGATGGGCCTGTTCTTGGGGCACCGGGGGTAGCAGCCTGGTGGGCACAGGGCAGGGGCTTGGACCACCACAGAGGACCATACCCATCATCCCTAACCTGTCAGGCCTTTCTCTTGAGATGTTTCTCTGGGAAGGCCAGGGATGGGGAAGGTAGAGGCTTGTTGTCTCCCCACTCCACTGGGCCCCACAGAGTGCCACCCAGCCACATAGCCAGCACAGCTCTGCCCAGGCTCTTATGGCCCCCTGAGCTACCACCACCCCCATCCCGTGGTGGGATCCTGCCTCCCCGATCTTCACATGACTCACTCTGTGTCTCTAGTTCTCAGCTTGAATGCCAGCGTCCGCCAGAGGCCTCCCCTGACCTGGGTCTGAACACCCCACCTTGCCCTGCTGTGTGTGTTCCTCAGCACTCCCCGCCCCTGGCGGGTCAGCTTGCATACTAACCTGCTCCTTTTCTGCTCTCCTGTGAGGGCAGGGCCTCAGCTCAAGCACCAAGCCCTCTGTGCAATGAACAAACTCTGCAGCAAGCTAAGCCTGGCCCACCCTGGGCCTCAGGTCCCCCTGGCCCTCTCATGCCTCTCTCTGGGCGTCCCCATGGGTCTCCAGACAACACTGGCCTTCAGCCTCACAGGGGCCAGACGAGTCGGCCGTCACATTCCCTGGAGGGCCCCGCCCTACATGGCCACCAGCACCCACTCACCCTCCAGGTAGGACACAGAGATGTTGGAGTGGATGCCGTTGACGGTCCTGCAGGTCTCGAAGGTGCGGTTCCCACAGGGCTCGTAGTGCCACTCACACTCGTCCCGGGGGTTGTAGTAGTCACAGAAGACAGCTGGGAGTGGACGGGGATGGGGTCAGACTAGAGAAGGCACAGGGGGGTGCCAGGGGGAGGGCGGGCTGGGGTGGAGGGACGGGGGGCAGAGACACGTCAGACTCGCTCCTGCCAACCCTGGTCCCCCAGTGGTCCATTTGGGCGGGTGAGGAGTGATGCCCCAGCCTGCACGTAGTGGCCCCCAGCCCTGGACCCAGGACAGAGGGCACTCACGGCACAGGTCCGGTGTCCTCCAGAACACACAGGCGCCCTCCTTGGTGCACTCCTGGGCGTAGGAGGCCACAGCAGAGCAGAAGCACTCGCAGTCCCCGCCGGTGTCACAGGAGCACGAATCGTGCACGCAGGCATCATAGAAGACCGTGGGGTCCACCTGGGGAGGAGACCTCGGTGTGCCCTGGGTCCGTGCTGCCTTCATGGGGCCAGAACTTGCCCCGTAGATCCCGGAGCTCAGGACCCTGAAACTGGCCCTGCTCCTGGACAGGGTACAGTTAACCAGGTTACCCAGCACCAGCCTCCCAGGGCCCTGGTGGGGCTGATCCTGGAGTGGGGGACTGTCTAGAGACATTTGGCCAATCCTGGCTGTTCAGACCTGGTGCCCAGCCCCTCAGGGCCTTGGGGTCCTCAGCTGTAAGCCGGCAGTCCTAACACCTGCCCATCCCCCATACCGGGAGCCAAGGGACAGCTGGGCACTAGGGAATCTGTATCCTTCCTCTTTTCCTAGTGAGCATGGCATCCTGGGGGTCCAGCCAGGGGTCTCAGAGGGAAGGCTGGTCATCTGGCCACGTGTCTAAAGGACACAGAGCCAAAGACGCAAGAGAACGGAGCTGAAGGACGAGAGCTGCAGGACGATGCAGCCGGCGGCTCCCACTGTGCGAAGAGCGCCCCGCCCCCGCCCCCGCCCCC